AGGCAGCAAGGGGGGAAGGGAGCAGGAGCAGGTTTTTAATCGACTCCCTCCAGCACCATCTCCACAGTGCCCCTGCCCCCACTCAGCACTGCTGCCTCTAGCAGTCATGCAACAGGGGCTGCTGGACCTGGCGTGAGCAAGGATTGAGAAATTCTGGCTCAGTCAAGGTCGTGCTGGGTCCAGAAGCTACCCCTGCAGCAGCTCTTCAGTTTAAATGTAGTACGAGCCAGGCTGCCTGTGCGCCCAGCTCTTACTACATTTAAACTGCATAGCCACAGTGGTGGGTAGCTCCCAGACTCAGCGCAATTTGGGACTGAGGAAGCCTTTCCTTATTGACTAATCATGTAGTTGATAAAAATGTTATTGACTACATGATTAGTGGATTACCTGCCTCTTAACATCTTTAGTACACATTTATGAACAATCATTTTGTGTTAACTACACCATGAGCTACGACAATACTGTAGGGGAGAGGTAGGAATCTTTCACCTCTCCAACTTTGGACTACTTCATACTGTGTGGAATCAACAGACCTGAGTTATCTATTATATAGAGACTGAAAACTCCCATTTCAAAAACAAAAAAGGACTAAAAGACAATGTCATTTTCAGAAGGTTAAAAAGAAAAACCACAATTTACAACCTAGGTTTACCCTCACAGCAAGGAAATGAGCAACTCATCTGATCATCAACAACTGTACAGATCTTTCTTTTTAAAGCCTTGTAACATGCAAGTTAAAAATGCATCAACGATACTCACAGTTTCTTCGGAAACTGCATGCGCGCTGGGGTCTTTCAAAAAATCCACCTCATCTTCAGTTTTCATCTCCAACTTTTCTGCAAAGACAGAAGGTTTGCAAAGTAGATTTAAGAAACTTCCTCCATGGCTGCTGCTGTTCTGTTTATTCAAATAACTGTAAAAAACTCAACAAGCCTTATTTTTCGTGCAATAGGTGCGGTTTCATTCCTCACTTTCCTGCTTGTTAGTTAGTAATTTTATCACTACAATGTCGTGAAGTTAACTATAAAACAGCAGCACATGATTAGACTTTTACAGATTCCTCTATACAACGCTTGAGATCTAGGTTATATTTGCATATGTGCTTACACCAGGGATGAGCAACCATGAATAGTGGGTGGGCTGCATGAGAAACCCTCCTTCACCTCAATGGGCCACAGCAGCCCATAGCCCACTGACCCCCTGCCTATCCCCCTATCACATGAGCCTCTTGCCAACTGGGGTACCAGAGCCATGCACTTACTT